CATAATAGTACGAACTCAAATACATGATTTATTCCCAATACGATACCCAAATTCGTGGTCAAAATCCAAGAATATAAATTTCTAGGTTTTTCTTCAAAATTCTAATTTCTACTAATTTTCATGTTTAAATCCACATATAAACCAAGTATTTAACTTGAAATAGGCAGGAATCACTTACCTTGACATAGATGACGAAAATCTCCCCTTGAAGCTTTCAAACAATCACCCAACCAAGAGAAAAATGAAGGAAAACGGCCAAACCCTCGTACTTAAAGAAGCCTTCTGCCCAGTGATCGTCACATCTGCGGACATACTTTCGCACCTGCGGTCTCGCTTTTAGGAGACAAAAATCGCTCCTGCGGAACTCCCTGGCCAGCAGCCCCTCACACCTGCCGAAGTTCGTCCTCTCTTGCGCAATCGCAGGTGCGACACATCCTAGTGCATTTGCGCATCTTTCGCACCTGCGGCAGTGGCATCGCTTCTGTGCACACGCAGGTGCGCTGCTCGAACCCGCTTCTGCGACCTTACGCCCGGCTGCCCATGTTACTTCTGCGAGTTTCCTCTTGCTTCTGCGAGGTTGCTTCTACGGTCAAACGTACGCAGAAGTGATCACACTAGTAACCAGATTTTTCTGGTATTTGCTCATTCAACAATCCGATTCGTTGATCATCCGGAATCCACCCGAGGCCCCCGGGACCTCAACAAAACCTACCAACAAGTCCTAAAACATCATACAAACTTAGTCGAGCCTTTAAATTACATCAAACAATGCTAAAAATATGAATCACCCTCCGATTCAAACTTAATAAACTTGAAAATTCAAACTTCTACAATCGGTGTCGAAACCTATCAAATCACGTCCGATTGACCTCAAATCTTTCACACAAGTCATAATTGACATTATGGACCTACTCCAACTTACGGAATCAGAATCCGACCTCGATATCAAAAAGTCCACTCCCGATCAAACTTCTCAAAATCATCCGAATTTCCAACCTTCGCCAATTGACGTCGAAATGACCTACGGACCTCCAAATCAACGTCCGAACATGCATCTAAGACCAAAATTACCATACGAAACTAATCCCAGTCTCGGAATCCCAAACGGACATCGATAGCATCAAAATCTACTTCAACCCAAACCTAGTAAATTATTAAACCTTCAAAATGCTAACTTTCGGTAATAAGTGTCGAAATACTCCCGGGCTACCCGACATTTCGACCCGAACATACACCCATGTCCGAAATCATCATACGAACCTATTGGAACCTTCAAATCCTGATTTTGAGGTAATTTATAAAAATTCCAAACCTTAGTATATTTATCAACTTAAAGCTTCCGAAATTAGAATTTTCTATCCAAATCAACTCCGAACTTCTCGAAATTCGATTTCGACCATACGTACAAGTCATAATACCTGAAGTGAAGCTACTCATGGCCTCAAACCAGCGAACGATATGCTAGAGCTCAAAAAGACCGATCGTGTCATTACATTCTCTCCCACTTAAACATACGTTCGTCCTTGAACGTGCTAAGAACTGTTCCGGAGTTGTCCAAAATTACTGTTTAACACCTCGTGCACCTAACCATGCTACCACAACCCAGTTGAGCACATTAGCTCGAGCCAGTTTGAAATTCCTCCCTTTTATTTAGTCAAATAAGCCTTAGAGCCAAATTCCAACATCCGAAATTCTCCACGATACCAGATTCTAACACACGAACACCGCATCAATCACTAGACTCCGTACCAAAACATGATAGTATACCCTTGTTGAATTCACACCCTGCACCGCATAATTCACATGATCATAATAACATCCCCTGACCATAATAACTGAAATTTCACGAATCTGGTGCCCACAACACACTTCATGACACCTATAAGTACTGTTCCAACGCTCGCAATACTACCATGACGAAAAAGATGGGTAAAAACTCATTACCACCTGCCGAATAAATGATTTGTGGAGTCTCTCCTCCTGACAAGAACCATTACCTCACTCTGAACTGAATAACGATATCTTCTCTTTAATGCACTTTATATAAATCTGGTCATACTAATTTCAGGTCCAATAGTCTCGTCTCACCCAGTACAAACTTCTTAGGCAATAAGCCATCTCAGACACTGCCAAAGGTCTCATATGATGTCACAATGTGCCAACAAGCTACCAACTCGAATGTGATACATAAGGAAATCGAACCCTTGAAGGAACTACTCAACCCGCGTAACTAATTTAAAAACTGAAAAGATGTCATGAACCTTTCTCAGAAAATGCAGGACAAAACACGCAGGAATAGATATAGGGAACTGTTCTAAACATCACGATGTTACGGCGTGCAACTCGATCCACACATGATACTGATGTGGCATGCAACCCGATCCAATCGTGTTACCCGTGACGGCGTGCCACCCGATCCAAATAATATACCAGTAGCGGCGTGCCACCCGATCCTCATATAATAATTTATAAAGAATTACTTACCGAGCTAGAATGCTCATAACTATGAAATACCTGAATATCGACCACAAGCATGCCAAGTGCATAATACCATCCCTGGGGAGACAGATAACGCCATACACTACATAACTCAAGCACGATTAAGGTGCGATATATGATCTACATTTCGAGAGCCATCCTGCTCACATAACACCATCGCTACGCGGGACCTCAACATATGTGCAATTAATCAAGCGGTCTCACAACCCATATGGCACAATAGAGTATTACAGGAAATATGTGATGATGAAATAACATCCAACGTCCGTATACTCCTCCATAAGGAGTGCTATGCTGAATGAACACACCCAGGCTGGTGTAGAGTACACATCCACATTTGGACCCTTTAACGGACCTCAAACCGATTCTGATCCTACCATGCTTGGGAAAATAACCTCTCAAGGACCCACAATGACCTATTCATGACACATAAGAACAGCCGTCGAATCCGGAACAAACTTCCTCAATTCACAACTAACTAAATAGAGAGCTTTTCAGGCCCAAACTCTCACATTAGCGATAGTACCAAAATCTCTATACTTGGTTTCAATCTTTAATCAATCAAGTGACTACATATCACACTTATACAATCTTCCTGTGGGATATGCTCCCACGACCTTCTGCACCAAGTAACAAGTCTGCACATCCATACTACCAGCCATACTAATGTTGTAAAGCAAATCGAGAATCCGCAATTCAGTACATAGCCTCTTACACAGGACACCGATCTCAGGTGACGCTAAAGACAATACTAGCTTACTCTAACCATTTGAATCCTTTCTTGCTCATCCGCGCTCGCGATATTGTTGTCAACACCAAACTGCAACCTTGATCCTCAACTTCCAATTCCCATGCCGCTCACTGCATCTAACATGCCAATACGCGAGAGTACAAGAATTTCAACATAACTCCTGAATCACTAATAGGATAAACACTTTATCATATAGAAACCTTTTACTTAGCTCTTTTCAGGAGAACCATTGCAACACGCGACCAAATTCTTGTAACCACATAAAATACAACCCCAAGTAGTGGTCAAAACCACCATAACTCTTCTGGGATCCATCTACATATAACAGGCCATAATAATCAAATACCTCCAATTCAATCAAATTACGGCGGCCGTCAAGCCTCGCATGTACCTCCATAATTACATGTACAACTTACACGCTGAAGGAACTGACCATTGCCACCATCATGCCAATTCAACTATTGCTAACCGATCCGACTTCTTCTAATTTACTCTAGACATTCCTTAAAAATAACAATAGCTCTATTCAAAATATATCGAACTCAATCCGCACTCATACCGAATGACCCCATTTCACGAGACCACATTGTCTCAAAACCCACGAACCATCTCATACCCTCCTTGTGCGCATATCTGCATCTTTAACTGGTACACCCATTCTGATAATTTCTCTATGAATCCAAAGTTATTTTCTCCCATTCCTCCAATGCTACACCGCATATCGAAGATAACATAGAACACTCCAAACCCCTTTCATAATCCGCCGTAAAAGCTCGATACTTAACCATACTACAGACTCGAAATCCTTAGGCACCGCACTTTAACTTTTGAATCCACTAGGACCGTTGTTTAGAGTCACCCACTACGACCTGGTCCCGAATATAATCAACTCCAAAGCTCTGCTAGCACATGACACATGAACACTCTATCAAAGAACCACCCGGCTGAATCACTTTCCTTGTACATCATATCTACACGAAGCATAAACTCTGAGTCTTCCCAAAGCCTGAACACGAATCGATAAGGCCAAATATAGCGCACATTCCCCAAATCCTTTGCTTAAATTACCACTGATGTTTTCTTTCCTTAGTTGTAATAACCCACCAATATACCGATAACCAGAAACCTCACAAGTAGACAACTATGCAATCCAATCATAGATGGTGGGGCTCTCCCACTTAGCTTGGTGCTACAATTACATAGCCCTGGAGCCCACCAAGATTCCTTCTTCCTCATTGACATGATCTCGCCCAATTGATCCGCCAAAGTTTCTCGAGATTTTCCTGTTAAATATTTCATGAACACTCTGAATCACTAGCCACATTTACATATTCGACCTTTTACCGGATAGCTAGTAGAATTCTTCGTAGAAGCTTCGCCAACTCCATGCAACCGTTAACCTGCTCACCGGAGATAACTCACATGTGGAAATTCCATGCCGACACCTTCCAACGATGTTGCACCAAGTACAATCACTACAAAACCAATAAACCATCCTAGCCATTGATGTGAACGACTGAGATTTATTCTCCATTCTCCTTTTTTTAGACTTAATCATAATCGTTGGATCATATGAGATCTAATGGTTCATGATATTTTCTCATTAACCATTTTAAATCTTTTTTTATCCGGATTAATTATGGCCGTTGATCTCTCCAATCAAATGTTCCAGATCTAATCAAACCCCCAAAAATTTATTCTCTTTCTTTCCTCTCTCATCTAAGAAACCATATACCTCATTTGCCCAAAAGTGTCGCCCCTCCTTTCTCTCCTCTCTCCTCCACCTCCCTTTGTCAGAACCCTGGCGGGAATCTCGTTTTTGCCACCTTCCTCTCATCTGCTCCATCTGACCTATCTTCTAAAACCTTAGCACCAAATGGTGCAAGGTCTGATTTTGTCACCCTAGCCTCACAAATTTCCTTTTCCCTTCATCTCTCTCATTGTCCTCTCTTGAACCCCCCCAACACCAATTGGCGTTACTTCAACATCCTTCGTGTCATCATGACTTTGAGAATCAGATTCTCTGTCACAAATCCCTTGATTCAACTTCATGTGATTTGTACATGAGTTTGAATTGACTCATGAGATTCGAGAGACTTCAAATCTGAAGGAGTTTTTATCCGCTGGACAAAGATTGAAACCAACGGACAAGCCTTCGACCCCGAAGTCCTAGCTTCAACAACTCTTTCCCTTTTCATGAATGCCTCCAAAAGGTAATGATTTTCACCTTTTCCATTTGATCTTTACCATGACTTCCATCATGATTTCATCATCATTTTTCTTCAAATTCTGAAATTTAAGTTTCAAATCTGAAAAGGTCTTCAATTTGGGCTATAAATAGCCGACTTCAATACTCTTTTCACAACATGAGATACACTACTCATTATGTGAAAAAAAACTCTCTGATAATTCGAGTTTTTAGTGCTTTACTCATTTTGTTTTCTCCTCTGTTTGATTCGATTGAGCAAGGGCGGATTTAGGGGGCGGAAGGGTGTTCATCCGAACATCCTTCGTCGGAAAAAGTTACACTGTTTATATAGGGGTAATTTTATTTTTTTACGTATAGATATAATATGTTGAACGCCCTTGACACAAGTCAAAAGCTTGGCTTAGTGGTCAAGGGTGTTCAGATTTTGTAAAAGGTCGCAGTTTCAATTCCCGTCAACTGAAATCTAATTCTTTTTACCTCATACTTTTTTTTAAAATTTTAAACTAAACGAAACGACGTCGTTTTCGTTTCGTCTCTTTTAATATGTTTTTCCCCAAAAACGTAACTGACTTTGAGTTAAAATCCCTAAATCTCTCTCTCACTTCATTGCCTCAATGGCTCCCTCCACTCTCTCTCTCTCTCTCTCTCTCTCTCTCTCTCTCTCTCTCTCTCTCTCTCTCTCTCTCTGTGTGTGTGTGTCTCTCTCTCTCTTTCTCCAATCTCTCTACCTTGCTGCTGTTGCTTGCTATTCTTCTGTCATGGCATTGTCATCCCAGGTAAATTCCTTGTTCTTTCTAATTTTTCAGAAATTTATTAGTATTTTATTGGTTATTCTTAATTTAGATTAATGACTCTTGTTTGTTGTTTTTTGATTCTTGAATCCGTAGACTTTAATAATGTAAATTATTGAGTTTTCTACTGCATTTGCTTTGATAAATTTATGAAAAATAATTGCTAATTTTTTTTAGAATTGAGATACTTTTGACTCGATCTTTGGTGATAATTGCTCATATTTTATCCCCTTCCGCTGCATAAGTTACAATGATTAATATTGTGTAGGAAGGAAAAAAATTCCAATCTCTTACTATCCAAATAAAATAAAATATAATATAAATCGCTAGTACGTGTGCGTTTTCAACATATCGTTAGCGTGAGTTTCGACGATAGTTTAGTTCCTATTTAGATTTTTTTTATGCATCCGTTTGACATTACATTTGGATTCAATAAATTTCGATGAACCCTTTCGATGAAATTTTTACTGTTCAATTCTTTATAATATTGAACACCCTTGTTCGGAATTCTGGATCCGCCACTACGATTGAGTTTGAGTTTGGGAGTTTAATTTTGGAGACGAATCTTTGACGACTCGACCCGACGCCCCAGTCTGCTGCCCCGAAAGAGAATTCCATTTTGAAACTCAACGACGTCGCTGCTGCATAGAGACTGCACATCCTCATTCTTCGGTTTTCATATCGTTTAGACATAAACATAGAAGAGAAAATCTTCTGGGAACTGAGCAGAGACTCTTGAAACGGTCCTTTCTGCTTCACTTATTTGCTATATGACTTACTATTCTAATTTTTATTATGTGATTGACTGTTAGGATCTAATTCTATTATAAATCACAGTCAAGTCTTTTAATTATGTATTTTGTTTTATAGTTACATATAGTTGAAACTCTTTAGAATCATGAATGTGCATCAAATACTAGTTGTTGAGCCTGCTAAAGTATTACAAAAGAAATATTAGTTTTTAAAATTTATTTCTTCATTCTATCGATTTTAGATTAAAAACTCCACCTTGGTGATTTTTTTAAAAGGCTATAAAGCTAGTAGTATTTCTAACACACAGAAGTTGTCATCTATGTTTTCCTTTCAGTGTTGCAAACATTTAAGTCGAGTTTGTTATCTGTACTTCCTTTAGAAACATTTTCTGAACTAACTTGCCTAATGTTTCAACATGATCCACTTGTAGGTAGAAAGTAGTATTTTCAATGATACAAGCATCAATTTTCTTATAAGACAAAGAGAATTCTCTTCAACATAATTTTTGGTGTGAACCTGATTTTCTTTTAAAAAGGTTCTCCATATTTATACTTAGTCCTAATTAACTTTAATCCGGTCGGTTAATAATTTTCTTTAAATTAATTGAGCCTTTATTTTACTCAAACCCGGAATAGTTAAATTATTATATTCTAGTTCAACCCGTTTAAAATGGGGTACAACAATGTATCTTTGGTCACAAGTCTTTGATCAATCAAGTATCAAGAATTGATATATTCCATACATTTAATGTTTCTTTACATGTACCTAACACTCGAGCGATATTGTTGTTTGAAGTTAAATCGCAACACACAACCGAGTCAACACATGAAGAATGAGCAGAGTCGTCACCCCAAGTGGGGCCAGGTACGTTAAGGGACATGATGACAACGACAGGCTATAGTTGACTTCTTGTATGAATAATACATACAACTTTATTAAATAAAGCAATTCGTTACTCCCTCACTTTCTAATTTTTGTATCACTTTTTTAAATATTTCAAAACTTGACAACTTTTACTATTACCTTAAAGTTTCGTCATGCTTTTACAATTCATACAATTCAAACATCAAAACACTTTTAGCTTCACACAACTTTAGAATGATCAAACCTTTTATTTAATAATCTCTTACGCATTTCCCCTCTCACGACCCCAATTTTCCTCTGTAGGATGTCGTGATGACACCTAATTTCTAAGATTAGGTAAGCCTAACAATTTGCGGAATAACTGAATATAAAACTGAACTCAAATCTCAACACATGAAATATGAATAGAACCTGCGATTCAAATAATTACAACTCCCAAAACCCGGTAGAAATAAGTCACAAATTTATAAAAGAAAATATCAAGTGTCTCTATACATCAGAGTCTAAAGAAAATAAGGAAAAGCAATATAGTAAGGATGGGAGGGCTCCGAGGACTGTGGACGCTGGCAGATATACCTTGAAGTCTCCACGTACGGTCCAGCTCACTGGTATCTGACCTGGTAGGAAGAACCTGGATCTGCACAACAAGATATGCGGAAGTGTAGTATGAGTACACCACAACGGTACCTAGTAAGTGTCAAGCCTAACCTCAGTAGAGTAGTGACGAGGTCAGATCATGGCCCTACTGGAATAAAAGGTAATGAGGCATAGAATATAATAATACAATGGAGTGACTGAGAAATGAACAACGAGAAATTTCAGAAAGGTAACAACACAGCAAATAGAGAAAAAAACAGTGACGCTCCTGAGGTATCGTCTCGTAGTCCCAAATGTAAATACACAATATGGGGATCTCTCGAGGTACCGCCTTGTAGTCCTAAAAGTAAATATGCAATGGGGGATCTCCCAAGGTACCGCCTCGTAGTCCCAAAAGTAAATATGCAACAGGGGATCTCCCGAGGTACCGCCTCGTAGTCCCAAAAGTAAATACACAACTCATAACCTATGGTACAACGAACTTACATCAAGGAATCATACAGTTAAAGACTGAATACAAGATCACGGAAGCAAGTAATTCAACTAAGCATGTTGCACAAATTTAAAGTAAAGGTTAAGACACGTAGACATGCGATACTAGGCTAAACATGACAGTTACACATGCTAAGGCAACTAAGTTATGGAAATTAAAAGAAGACTACTCAGCAAGAACTGAAATTTCCACAATTAGCCGGTGTACACACTCGTCACCTTGCGTACACGACACTCACATATCACAAATTGTTACAACAGTACCAAATCCTAAGAGGATTTTTCCCACACAAGGTTAGATAAGTCACTTACCTCGAATCTCGCTCAATCTATCGATAAGGATACTTTCCCTTTGCTTTTCCACTCCAAATGGCCCAAATCTAGCCAAAATCAATTACATACCATGAATACAACTATAAGAAACTAATTTAAATAATAAATCTACGACTTTAGCAAAGAATCAAAAATCGCCTCAAAAGGTCGACCTGGGCCCACGCCGCAGAATCAGGTAAAAGTCACAAAATACGAACACCCATACCAAAATTACTCAAATTTGACACAAAATTCTCGATCAGAACCCCAAAATTCGGCCTAAGGATTTGTTTTCCACCCTTTTCACAGCCCAAATCCTTAATTAATGGAAGAATAAATGATATCTTAGTGGAAATTAATAAAAAAATAAGTCAAGAATCCTTACCCAAATGTTTCCTCTGAAAACCCCTCAAATTTTTGCCTCAATCCGAGCCCTATATCACAAATTATGAAGAAAAGGGCAAACCCTCTATTTAATATAATCCGCCTAGGCTTTTCGCATCTGCGGCCAATTCACCGCACCTGCAGAACCGCTTTTGCGGTAAAAACCTTTGCTTTCTTTTGTGCTTTTAAGCTATTTTATGGTATATCGAGATAGTTGGTTCGGGTCCGGAGTGGTTTCTTTAGACACTTAGTCTCTAAAGTAGAAGCTTAAGTTGGAAAAGTCAATCGGATATTGACTTATGTGTAAACGATCTTGGATTTGAATTTTGACGGTTCTGTTAGCTCCGTTAGATGATTTTGGACTTAGGAGTGCGTCTGAAAGTTGGAGTAGGTTTGTGGTGTCATTTGAGACGTGTATGTAAAATTTGAGGTCATTCGGACGTGGTTTGGTAGGTTTCGGCGTCGTTTGCAGAATTTGGGAAGTTAGAAGTTCTTAGACTTGAATCCGAGGGTAATTTGGTGTTTTGATGTTATTTTGAGTGATTTGATGATTTTTCAAAGTTTGTATGTTGATATATGACTTGTTGGTATGTTTGGTTGAGGTCTTGAGAGGCTCGGGGTGAGTCCGGGTGGTTAACGGATTGTTTGAAGTTGGAAAAATGCAGTTGAAGCTGCTACTACTGGTATTTCCGCACCTGCGAAGGGGGAGCCGTAGGTGCGAGGTCGTTGGTGCACTTGGTGAGCCGCAGATGCGGACATAGAGGACCTGGTCTGGAACCGCAGGTGCGTAAGATTGGTCGCATCTGCGAGCCCGTAGATGCGAGGCTGAGGCGTAGATGCAGAAGTGAGGAGGACTGGCAGTGGCCGCAAGTGCGAGGTCTTTTGCGCACCTACGAGGTTGCAGAAGCAGATATGGAACATAGGTGCGAGATATGTGCGCAAAAATGGCTCCGAAGGTGCGCATTATTTTAGCCACAGGTGCGAAAACCTGGGCAGAACCTATAGATAGAAGACTTCGCGAATTTTTGTTCATTCCCACCATTTTCAAGTAGGAACTTGGAGTTTTGGAGTGATGTTTGAAGGGGATTCAAGGATATTCACTGAGGTAAGTTGCTTGAGCTCTATTATCATTAGCTATGGTGTTTTTTCGTTAATGTTCCACCTAATTAGTAGAATTTTTGAAGTGAAATAAGGGGTTAGGGCTTGGGATTTTTGAGGATTTGAGGGACCAAATGATGTCGGATTTTGATAAATTTAGTATGGGTAGACTCGTGAGTGAATAGGCTTCGGGTTTTATGACTTTTGTCAGATTTCGAGATGTGGGCCCGGGGGGGGTGAGTGAATTTCGGAATTTGGCCTATAAATTGGTATTTTCCTTGTGGGATTTGTTCCTTTAGCTCATATTGATCGTATTTTATTGCTTGTGGCTAGATTCAGGTCATTTGGAGGACGGTTCAAGAGGAAACGACATTTCAGAGTAGGAGTTCTACGCGGTTGAAGTAACTAACAGTTTTAAATCTGGTCTTGAGGGTATGAAACCCAGAGTTTGGTATAATGTGATTGTTTGGAGGTGGCACTCATGCTAGGTGACGGGCGTGTGGGTGTACTCCATGAGGGATTGAGACTTGGTCCTTACCGGGAGACTATGAATTCTAATAGCCTTTTTTTTGTGTTTATATGAATTCCTGTCTACTAGAACTTGATTGCCTTTCATGTTAGAGATCATGCTTAGGCTATATTCCTGCTCATGGTAGTTATATCCTATCATAGTGATTCTTGTAGATGTTTACCTCAGTCTCTGTTATTTTTCCCTGATGATATACTGTAACACTTTGATTTGGGCTATTTTCCCTTTCTTTATTGAAAGCTATGAGACTAGAGAGGTTCATGACTGAGTAAGGCTGAAGGCCTGGTTGTGATGTATTGTTCTATGGCACGGTTGTTGTCCGTGCAACACTTGAGTTGTCCATGCAGATCCTTATATTTATACTAGGGCACGTGAGTTGTCCGTGCAGCACGTGAGTTGTCTGTGCGGATCCAGATATTTATACTATAGCACGTGAGTTGTCCGTGCAGCACGTGAGTTGTCCGTGCAGATTATAGCGCTTAGGCTGCAGGAGCCTCTTATGAGTCTGAACACCCCTAGTGAGCTCAAGTACCTATTGAGCGTGCATTGAGGGCTGGGAGTTGAGTGCCGAGTTGTTGAGGGTTTGAGTGACTGTTGCCCTGAGAGGTTGTACTTGCTTTTCAATTGTTGATGCACTTAGTTCTATCTATCATTGTTGTGAAATTTCTGAAAGTTTCTATATCCGGAGTACCTACACTTTAACTGTATAAAACTGATTTGACTTAAATTGCGGATTTGAAAATATGTCTATTCTTTGCTGGAATTATTGAAAATGAACTGTACTGTATAGCTCGTCACTGCTTCTCAGTTCCTTATTTATTTCTGTTACTTACTGAGTTGGTTGTACTCATGCTACACCCTACACTTCATGTGTATATCCAGGTGGGTTTGATTACGGAGGTCATTGAGTTCGGGCGCGATCGAGTACCGGAGACTACGAGGTAGCCGACGGTGTCCGCAGGACCTTGTCTCTCTTTCTATATTTCTTTCTGTCTTGTATTGATACTTAGACACTGGTTGTATTAGTTTGGTTGTCTAGATGCTCATGACTTAGTGACACCCCGATGTTTGGGGCTAGATTCCACATTTTGATTCTATATTGAGTTCAACTTTGGTTTTTATGAAAAATTTCAGATATGAAAAAGTTTTAAACTACCGTTTCTATTGAATTACTGGAGTATTTTGGGAACGTCGGCTTGCCTAGTACCATCGATAGGCTCCATCACGACATGTTAGGTTTTGGGTCGTGACAAGTTGGTATCAGAGCTCTAGGTTACATAGGTCTCACGAGTCATGAGCAAGTTTAGTAGAGTCCGGCAGATCGGTACAAAGACGTCTGTACTTATCATCGAGAGGCTGTAGAACCTTTAGAAAAATTCCACATTCTTGAATTCTTATCGTGCGAATCTGTTGATTCTGGTACATAAACATTTGTTGTTTCATTCTCTCACACATGGTGAGGAGTCGTACTACCGGGCAGGACAGACAGCCACCAGTACCACCAGCCAGGGCTGCGAGAGGCCGAAGCCGCGGTAGAGGTCGCGGTAGGGGCAGAGGTGCAACCCGCACAACAGCTGGGGCAGTACCTGTAGATCCACCAGTTGTCACATATCAGGACCACATTCCAGTTGTTGATGCACCAGCTCAGGCACCACCTGTGCCTATTATGATTACAACCTCTACGAGGCCCTAGCTTAGATTCTGACAGCATGTACCGGCCTTGCTCAGGCGGTCTCTATCTCGACGGCCGCAACCACTTCTCAGGCCGGGGGAGGCACTCAGACTCCCGCCGCTCGCATACCCGAGAAGATTGTTCAGGTACTCCAGACACCTGAGGCACCACCAGCCCAGTCGGTTGTAGCTGCTCAAGATATGTGGTTCCTGCTAGGCCTGAGGCTGATCAGCGTAGGTTGGAGAGGTTTGGGAGGCTCCAGCCTCCACCTTTCAGTGGCATAGAGAGAGAGGATGCCCAGGACTTCTTGTACAGGTGTGATAGGATACTCTGTACAACTGGTATTCTGGAGACTTGTGGGGTCACATTCACTACTTTTCAGTTTTCTGGGGCTGCACTCAGATAGTGGGAGACTTACGAAAGGCGTAGGCCTGTTGGCGCAACACCCCTTACTTGGCAGCAGTTTTGCGTTGTCTTTTTGGAGAAGTTCGTGCCTCAGTCCCGCAGAGAGGAGATGCACAGACAGTTTCAGCAGCTTCGCCAGGGTGATATGTCTGTGATGCAGTATGAGATGTAATTCTAGGAGTTGGACCGTCATGCTATCTAGTTGGTTCCCACAGACAGGGAGAGGATGATGAGGTTTATAGATGGTCTCACTTTTCATCTACGGTTGCTTATGACCAGAGAGAAGGTGTCTGGTGCTACCTTTGATGAGGTTGTCAATATTGCTCAGCAGATTGAGATGGTTCACGGTTAGGAGAGGGTTGAGAGGGAGGCCAAGAGGCCTCGTGGTCAGGGTGGATTCAGCGGTGCTCCTTCTGGGGGTCGGTTCCAGCACGGTAGAGGTTGTCATTTCAGACACGCTCAGACAACTCGGCCATTTCACCATAGTTCATCATCTGGCCATGGTTCTCATATTCATCAGCAGGGCCAGTCATCATTCAGTGCACTACCAGCGCAGAGTTCTCATCATTCCCCGTCCGCTCAGATATCCCCGGGTAGTTCTTTTGGGCATCAGGAGCAGCAATTTCGTCAGAGGAGGGGTTGTTTCGAGTGCGGAGATTTTGGTCACATTATGAGAGATTTCCCTAGGCTATTGGGTGGACTCCACAGCAGAGTACTCGGCCGATGGCACCAGCACCAGTTCCTGCACCACCCGCCCAACCATCCAGGGGTGGAGCTCAGCCAGCTAGGGGTGGAGCTTAGTCAGCTAGGGATCGCCCGAGAGGGGGAGGCAGATCGGGGGTGGTCAGGCTCGTTTCTATGCCCTCCCTTCTAGAACAGATGCTATTGCTTCAGATGTTTTGATTATAGGTATTGTCTCAGTTTGTCACAGAGATGCCTCTGTATTATTTGACCCTTGTTCCACGTATTCATATGTTTTCTCGTATTTCACCCATTTTCTAGATATGCCCCATGAGTCTTTAGTTTCATCTGTTCATGTATCTACTCCTGTGGGCGATACTATTATTGCGGACCACGTATATCAGTTATGTGTAGTGATTATTGGGGGTTTGGAGATCCAAGTGGACCTTTTGCTACTCAGTATGGTTGACTTTGATATGATATTGGGTATGGATTGGTTATCTCCATGTCATGCTATTCTAGATTGTCACGCTAAGACCGTGATGTTGGCGATGATGGGATTTCGGAGGGTTGAGTGGAGAGGTTCTATAGACTATTAGGCAACCCGAAGAGCTAGTAGATGGAGAAAAAAGGAGCTAAGAACAAAAGAATGTCTTGTTCGAGTTTTCAGAATAAAGTGATAGACATAAATGTTAGCGGAAAATAAGAAGAGAGTTAATGAAACATTATGAGTAAGATATTATACATGGATGACAACGGTAGATCAAAAGATGACAGTATTACAAAGTCTATAGTCAAGTAAAGGAAAAGATGAGAGGTGACATGCCTTGAGACAACAAAAAAGTATAGGCCATAAAGTCATATCCTCATTTCAAAAAAACAAAGTTTGACTCCAACGCGACTACCAGAATGAAATGTAAGACCCCATAGTAATAGAAATCAGTATGGACTGATGAACAAGGTAAACTAAACATGAACTGGGGACTGAGTAATAGTCGGCATCATGAGAATTTCAGAGATTGCGTCCCGACGATGATAGAATGGGCGATAGAAGGATTCCCTTTAAAGTCCATTCAGGAAGATGCTTCCCTAAAGCAAGCAAGGTGAGCAAAGTTAAGCTTAAGGGACTGTATGTACCAGTTATACTAAGTGTCACCCTCGCGAGTAGGGCAATTTGTTATCCTTGGTACAGAAAGATTAACGCGAGGCGAGTAAGGATCATCGATGATGTGGAAAGACGCCAAAGATGAAGAGGTAGACCATCTATAGGTAGATCCTCGTGGCTTCGGCTCTTAGTACTCCCTTAAAGGGGGGAATATGGAGTGATGTTGCATTAAATCGGAATGAAGTGGTTCTAGTGATTATGGAATGGTAAAGGAAGAATGCGATAAAAAAAAAGGGATGAGATGGCACTTATCCAAATCCTACAGATATGCTACGATACCAGACTATTGTGCAAGCACGGCGTCAAGGAGAGGAGTAAGGGTTCCTGCCAGAGCTGTTATTAATAAATAAGGAGCCAGTGCGAGACGTAAGTTAAGGCAAAGAAAATATCCCAAGAAAGATTACACGGAATATTGAGATGTGAATGGGCCAACGAGTAGTTAGTAATTGATCAGGAAGAGCCTAGTTATGGCTAAACAGGAGATTACAGACGAGTTAGCAGATCGTGTAAGATAAACATAGTAAAACCCAATATAGTGAATTCAGCCTCGCAGTTATGACATTGTGATCATTGGGAAATATTTAGATAGGAGTTGGGGTAGTTAAAGGTACCATATGAGTGTTACGGAGATAAAAGAAAGTGCCACCGGGAAGTCAGTCAAAATATCTAGTTAAATAGCAACCCTACAAGCAAAAGGGGGTGGAAGTAAGTAACTATGGATAATTATAGGCAAGGAAGGACATCAAAAAGGTCAGTCAAGTATACAATGTAATAAGCTCACAGCTTTACAAGAGTCAGAGGATCCTCCCTAAATACTACAATGAAAGACTAGTTGAGGAAGTAAGGAAGAAGGCTTCAACCTAAGCTAAGTAACGTAGGGAGGAAATGGTTGTGTAACAATAGTCTTACTACAAAATTGTATGCACTCCAAAAGAAAGCAGCACCTACCATGGCTAATGAGCGGGGAGTAAAACCAAAAGTACTATTCGAGACCATATGAGTTGCACAAAAAACAAATTAGCATGCGTGAAAACTCAGATAAGCTAAGTATGCACGCAACAAGGGGCAAAAAGACCAGGAAAAGCAATTGCTTACATTTGAAGAAAGTTGAAATGAAAAGAAAGAAATTATTCGATTAATAATCAGCCGTAAAAGACTCTGGTATGAGTTAAAAGAGTCCAGGTCATAGACAAAGGACTGAATCATTAAAAGATTGTATCATGGATATTCCATAACGCCCATGAAAGGCTAAAGTAATAGCTAATACCAGGACCCGCAGATCGGAAGATAGTTTAAGACTACATAAAAGTTGATTAGAAGAAAGAGGAAACTAAAGAGTTACATCAACGAAATAAATCAAGAATCTAATTATTGGACCAAGAAAATTATAGGAATCGTGGTTGAGAACATTGCAGGATCACTCTTAATATCAAAGGTACAAGAGAGAATATAAAACAACCATATTCTGCAATGGCCATACGATAAAGCCACTTGGAAAAGTACCAGCCTCATAAGAAGTCTGTACGAAGCTCCCACCGGGTTGTGTATGCACCAAAGGTGCAAGTATTATAATAGAGCCTCAAGTTTTGGATGTGAATTACACTTATGTGGAAGGGAGGTTATGAAAAAGATAGAAGATATGAGGCAAGATTTTAAGGTAAGTAAAGTAAAGGTGGACAACGTACGAGATGCTCAAAAGAAGAAGGTTGTGAATAGTTCATACTTCAGATAAAAGGCTAGAAGTGTTGGGATTCAGTATTCTGGAGTGATAGCAGCATCGTCAGTAGCATATCCTCCAGCCTATGGTTTCTAGGTATCAAGAGGTCTAGTTAAGAGAGTAAAAAGAGAGTTTGAGACGATGTGATGTTTCGCTTGAAGTTTCATAATAACATAAGGAAATCTATGGTGCAAGCAAGTTGAAGAAAAGTTGCGAGTAGTATACATGACTATGTGTAGGTCACAAGCTAAAGTATGGTAAAGTGATAAGGTTTTAGGAAAACATGAGTAAGGATGAGAATGGGCGAGTGAGAAGGTGATGATAATGGATATGTCCTCAAGATTAAGCCC